TTAATTGAAACAGCTGTTAAGATTCAATAATTCCATTTCTCATAAGGTTAACATGGGAAACTCCAGAGCCACTGGGGCGGAGCCCGAAAGGATTTTTTGAAATAAGAATATGCCTATATGTTAATCGGGAATGTGAGCTATCATCATGCCAAATTTCAGCCCAATCCGACCAGTATTTTTCGCGTTCACTTGTCACAAACATACATCCAAACTTTCTCATTTATAATATTAGTAGGAATAATTATAATCATTTATAATATATATATATATATATATATATTCAAAATCATCAACTGGACAGTGGGAGGTTTGCATGAGAACTTGAGTGCGCTCCCGACCCATAGGCACACTTCTGATCCCAAGCGATGACAAACTAAAAGTCTAAAAAAAATGTTTGATACAAAAATTGAGGAACATCTAATCATCTATACTTCTGCCACTGAAAGTTTTTCTCTGACCGATGAATAAAAAAATACTCGCTTACATACTTTTTCATGTTTACTCAGAATAACCTTTTTATATTTTCCCTAATTAATAATTACACACTGGCACAAGTTAAACTATATTTATATTGTATTAAAACAGTACTTCGTGTAGAATTTAAATATATAACTTTTATGTTGTAAATATTTTTATTAGAAGCTAGACAAATGTGTAAGAGATAGGAGGTACACCACTTTGAATAGTCTCGCGAACATCGTCGCGCCCCCGACAGAGCTATGCTGGCAGCACCTGGAGTTTGTAACCATTACAAATGCCGAAATTATATTATAACACATTGACAAAAAAACTGGTAAATGGTACCCATTAAAATGGTTTGAAATTTTTATGCTATCGATTGTTTTAATAAAAAGTTGAAACCCATGTAGTAGGCTGGAATTTCAACTGTTTTGTTGTATCTCAAGCCTTTTTGAGATATAAGCATTTTTAAACAATAAAACAGTGCACGGAGTTTGTAACCTTTATTTACTTACGCTTACATTATATTACAATGCATTGGCATACAAATGAAAACGGTTTGATTTATTTGTACTTATATAAAATAATATTTTTTTTTTATTTATTGGGACCTCTGGTGATTAAATTACAAAATAATGGACTCAGAACATATATAATGGAATTTTAAAATAATGGAATCAAGCAAAAAAGATCAAAAGCATAGACTTATTGAATCTTTATGATAACTATTTGATTTATTTGTACCAATATAAAATAATGTTAAAATTGTTTTTGATATTTTACGTTGTATTATTGTTTCTTGTCAAAAGTTGGAGCCCACATAGTGTACCTAAATTTTACCATTTGTCGTATCTCACGTAACTTTTTAGAAATAAGCATTTTAAAGCAATAAACTCACACCAATAATGTATGCAATTTCTAACCATCACCAACACTGATATTATGTCACAATGCATTGACATACAAATGGAACCGTTTAATTTATTTAACAAATGATACTCATATAAAACCTTTTAATTTTTAGATTTTTTACCCTGTATTGTTGTGTTTTATCTAAAGTTGAAACTAATGTTGTGTGCCTAAATGTTTACTGTTTTGCCATATCTCAAGCCAATAGATAGAATAGGACAAAGAGATGTTTTCCCCATAAGAATAACGCAGGGAGATCTTTAAGCAACTTTTTAAAAATCATGCTAACTTTTTTTACATTTCTACACAAATGTCCAACTTAAAAATATATCCAATCCCCATCAATCCCTGTATATTTTCAAAATCATGTGAGATTTGCACCAGTTGGTTCGAAATATTTCAAATACCCCCGCTAGAGCAATCAATTAGTAACTGGAAACTATAGATTTATATTACTGTATGAACATAATTTCCGTATTTCTAAACGTAACAACAATGAGACCATGAAGACATATATATCTTGCTAAATATACAGAATTCAGCAACAAAGGAAGCTGATACCGTGCTATAAACCTGAGGGTGTACTGTAAATATAGAGGTGGGTATTTCCATAGAGACATAATGATGATTCAGAATGTGAAAGTTCTTTGGTAGAAATATCAAGAAATCAAGATCGATGATCAAAGATAACATTGTTCATCAGGGAATTTATAGAGAGGGATCAGTCAGATTGAACTAGTATATTGCAGTGATATTTCATTACTGTCGTAGAAAATGAACGTTTTGCCTAGTAACTAAGATATGTCCGATATCCTTCAAATTGATATGTAGAATATTGAGACAACATTAGAAAAATTGTCAATATAAATTTGATTAAGTCATAGCCTTTATTAGTACAAGCAAAAGGAACACATATATGTACATTACTAGCCTAGTGAACAAAATATGGCAAGAATATCTTTCAGGTATCCTCTTAATTCATTATTTATTTCTCATCGCTCTCAGCTCTGCATTTTTCGTCCATTGCATGTACAGTTTTCTCATTGAATTTACTTGTCTCCATGGCTATTCACTTAAAATATTTATCATTGTTATTAATATTATTTATATGAAAATACTAGCAGAGTACCCGACCTTCGTTCGGGGTTGGCATCAGCGAGCAAGGAAATATGAATACTCTTAAGGTTAACATGGGAAACTACAGAGCCACTGGGGTGGAGCCCGAAAGGATTTTTGAGATAAGAATATGCCTATATGTTAATCGAGAATGTGAGCTATCATCATGGGAAATTTCAGCCCAATCCGTCCAGTGGTTTGTGAGTGATTGACCTTCAAACAAACAAACAAACTTTTACATTTATAATATTAGTAAGATAAGATTATCATGGTTATTGTTATTTCGTAGTTATTTATATTATTTATTGTTTTCTAGGGTAGTCCATTTGCCATTTGTTGTATATATATCTTCGTAATTTATTAAACTATGTATTTATTCCTCGTTCCTCTTTGTTCTTACATTGTCCAAGTTTTCACATGTACTGTATTTGATTATTGTTAATTTTGATATTCCTCTTATCATTATTAAATATGGGCTATCTAGTGATAAATGAGCAATTCAAAACTTGTAATTAAACTGAAAATTGGTGTAAATCCGTTGGCAAATCTATATTCTATATACTTATTTAATACGCAAGCAGGTTTTTTGTGACAATTACTCCTCCGAAACTACTGAACCGATTGACATGTTTTTGGTGTCATTGGAAAGAGCGTATCGTGAAGTTGTGCAGGAAACCTTCTTTTTAAGGAAATAATTAGAGAGTGAGGCCCTGGGGCCCTTTAAAGTTTCGTATTTCTCCATAAGGATAACAAGGGAGATATTTTTTTTATTTACAGAAACATATGTTTGTTACTTGAAAATAGTCAAAGTCTACTACATAATAATTGCTGTGTATTATGACTGTTAATGTATACTACATTTCCATCAAGGATTGTGTGCCTTAAACTTTACTCATATTGGATCTCACTACTTTATTTTCATGCTGGGAATAGTAAAATTTAGTTGAGAATAAGTTACCATGATTTAGAAAACTTTACTATAATAATTGATGTATTTAAAATCACAAATCTTTGACATTATTAATTCATTAGAAACGAAACAGCTGATCAAGAAATCAAACAAATCATCTACTTCATGTGATTAATGTTTTTACACAAACATAGTTTTTTTTTACCAATAACTTGATTCTTTTTTACCTGTGGGTGATGTATTTTGAGTTTGCAGTTATGAAAGCACCAAGCCAAGTAACTTTTATCTAATTTTCTTTATAAACTAACAGTATTTATGAATTACTACATGAACTTGACAAGTTAGGTAATTAATTGTCAGTATGCCAAGGGGAAGAAGAGTGGGTCCTCGAAAACAGACGAAGGCGGAGACACCCATCTAGAAAATCCAACTGAGTTTTTAAATATAGAGGTCAGTGGATTGCCAAGACACAGATTATACTAATAAAAGGGGACAGTGGTTTTATTGATATTAATACATCAAAAAGGGCCTAATTAATGGCACAAGGATTCATGTGATCAGAACGGTTGACAACAATGTAAAGTAGAATGTAAAGTCCTAACTGAAACAAGTGAGTAGGGACACATTTTGATTTCGAGGATAAAAATTTGCCCGTCTGAAACAAAATTACCTGTTAAAATGGAAAGAATGCTAATTTCTGTTGTTTTTTTTTATTTGCAGCACAAGCACTTTAATTAAAGAGCAGCACTGTTCTTAGCCAGACCAGTTTCAGTCATGAGCAAATATATATATATATTTGTTGTTTTAAGTAAGGCTACATATTTGAATAGGATACGCATATTCATTACGGAAAATTCTGACCAGGGTAATATTCCTGCAGGTAACTTTAAGACTAAAATCGTAGTAGTCTATTCATGGAAGTGCTTTTGTGATAAAACTATTGTTTTTTAGTGTTTATTTTTAAAAGTGTTTTCTTAAAGCAGCATTTTATGACCCTCAAAATATGCTACATAGGCCAATTGGTTTGATATGATAAAATGTTTTGTTAAATTTGTGTTAAAAAATCTTTAAAAAATAACTACACTATAACATACTTAACCTTAAAAACTAAACTTATTAATTTAATAAATACTAGTGGACCCGAGCACACGGAATCGTGCGCTACGCTAGCAGAGCAATAAATAATTGAAATGGCAGTCTCAAAACATTTACATGCAGTGCATGGATCCACCATTAATTCACCATTTTCAGCCTATCACAGTGCTATTACAAAATATCCCCATTTTTATCTTAGCATGGCGTAATTTCACCATTTCCGCTATTTTATGCGCACTGAAGTATATACACACACTTTCAAATATATTATCATGCAGAAAGTGCTTGTCTGCGACACATAATATTACAATGTTTTTCATGAGCCTAAGTGCACGCTTACGTGAAACTATATTTTACAATGCAATACGTGCGCTATAGTACTGGACCACTATTATAGCGCACTTATTGCATAGTGGACTGCTTATAATACAGTATACATAGGTTTACGATGCATCATAATAAATGTAACACAAAATTTAGTTTTAAATTGAAAACATTTTACTGTAAATGGTTATACTACATTTTTAAATACTATATTCCGAGTGAACACTCGATCATCACCTCTCAACCGGCCTTGTTTTTCTGTGTCACGGACCATGAATTTCAGCCCTTCAAACGATCGTGCACGGCTGCAGGCTACATACAGCTGTCCATGGCCAAAGACAGGCTCTTCAAGCATTATTCCAACTTTGCCAATGCTCTGTCCTTGTGATTTGTTGACTGTCATAACAAACGCAGGTATGATTGGGAACTGCGTGCGTTGCATGGCAAAGGGAAGGGCTGCATCAGAAGGACGTAAATGGATTCTTGGTATGAGAAATCGATTTCCCGAAGACGTTCCGGTTAGAACTTCCACGTCGATAGTGAGTGGATATAAATGTTTCACTCTCAATCGGGTACCATTAATCAGTGCTTTAGCAGTGTCTAAATTTCTTATGAGCATGACGACCGCGTTGACTTTAAGTTTTAATTTATGAGGTGGTAATCCGCTCAATTCAATGCTATTGAGGAATTCGGTTGGGAAATTCAGTGTCTCCGAAACGTCATCAGTTACAATCTTGTCAAAACTGTAATAAGTCGTGAACTCTCCGGGCATCCTTGACATTATCTTTTCGTTTACAGAATGGCAGAATTCGTTTTTCGTAGAGAGGATTGCTCGGTCTGTTATAGTGTTGCTTGTTATAATGCTGTCAAAGTCATTGTATACTTCGTCAATAATATCTCCTGAGCAGATAACGTTCTGAGGAAGTTCAATTATATCATCGCCGAGATCAGAATGAATTGGATATGTCCCATCACCAATTTGATTGAGGAAGCTTATAAAGTCAAGCTCAGATGGCAGCGCACGCATGTTTTGCGTAAGCGTGAGCTGTTTGATTCGTAACCACTCTTCTAAAGATTTCACACATAGCTCAGTTGTAGCTGTTTGCCCAGCGTGTGGTACAACAGGGAGCGTCTGCCTAAAGTCCCCGCATAGGAGTACGGCTTTGCCTCCGAACATTTTTTCGCGATTTTCGGGAACTGATAGGTCACGTAACAAACGGTCGATTGCTTTCAACGCGTAAATCGGACACATTGAGATTTCATCGATTATAATCAATGCTGAACGCCTGATTCTATTGGCAACAGCACTATTAGCTTTGATAGATGATACCGATGACTCAGTGACAGGAATAGGCAATTTGAACTGATTGTGTAATGTTCTGCCTCCCACCAGCAAGCTTGCCGCTATGCCACTGAATGCGCACGGTAGACAGTCAAGACATTTTGAACGTAAATAAAACAGCAACGTCTTTCCACAGCCAGCGTGCGCAGTGAGACAGAGTACTTTTTCGCCTTGTCCTTTTTCAATAGCACCAATAACTTCTGTAATGATTGCTTTTTGTTCGTCATTGGCCATGTTGAACATATGATTGAAGCACTCGCCTTGTTCCATTACGTCGTAACTATCTATGTTTGTTGACTGACAGTTCTGAATTGGAAGCCCTAACTCAGCACAACTTGTGTTGTGAGCGATCAATATATCCTCAATTTCAAGAAGGCCCAAATTATACGCTGCTTGAGAGCACATATCACGAAGTAAGTCTTCACACAGATGGTCTTTGAACTGTTCCCATAGTGCGTTGCAATTTGCGGGTATATTAATAGCACAAATAACTCCAATAAGTTGACGCAACTGTCTAGGAGACTGCGATGTTGTCGCTTCGGCAATAGTATCTTGCCATTGGTCGTCATTACACACAATACCTCTTGCGTTAGCGGCGGCCAAGAATGTTTCGTGAAGTATGCCATCAACTGTAAGAATATCTTCAAAACCCTTCGCACCTTTGACATGTAGTAGCAGGAGACGTAAATTAAAAAGTTCAACATTCTTTGGCGACACATTATAAAGGCGCGTTACGACCTTTTGTCCACCACGCTGCCGTTTACGCCATTCTTTCCTGGTAGAGTCCCATGTGTAATTTTGCGGAATTTCAATGTAGAGTAAATTGTTAGCATCAGAATCTTGTTGGTTAAGTCTGAAAAATGCCTCTAGTTTTGTTTGCTTTGGATTTGCTGCTGCGGCAGCTTCGTTGCCGTTTTGAAAGTATACAGTTTGTTGTTGCGGTAAGTGACAATCAAGACGTTCAATTTTGTGAGATTGGTGATGCATCTCGTATTCAAAAATGCGCCAAATGGCCTCTGTAGATCCCACATAACGACAACTGACGAAAGAGTCAATTTCATCATATACGATCTGCGCTTGGTCGTCACGACTGAACTGTACGTTGGCGCAATCGTAACCCTTGTATATATATTTATACACATATTTGATTGACCTTACAGAGCTGCAGACTTCAGTGTTGATATGGCAGTTGAACTTTTGCAGGAGAAAAGGGTTATAAGGTACAACAAAGCGGTTGTCAACACTCTGACCACGAACATCAACAGTAACGCCTGTATCACGTCTTCTATATGTTGCGTACCCATTGTGGTTCTCTTGCGTTGACTCGGAAAATTCTTTTGAAAACTTCTTGCTGCACTGGCCATCTCTCATACAAACTGAATTCGGGTTTAGAGAGCCGCATGGACCGTGTATCATATGGCTTTTAACTTTGTCATGAAGAGAGGGATGTAGCTCAATATCAGGTATTTCTGCAGACACATACTTGTCGATAACATCCACCTCGCGGATACGATCTTCTTCGTCTAAAGTGATGAGGATATGGGCGTGCGGGAGTCCACGCTTTTGGAACTCAATTGTATAAATCAGAGCAGCCACTTTGCCAAAAATTTGATCTTTCGTAATGTTGTCAATAAGTTAATTCAGTTTACAATGAAAGACGCGGACGGCTAAGTCTGGACGGTAATGTACCGACTCGCCAATTGTTAAGTTGTCAATGATTTCAGGCCACTTCGGGTTGCATGTCATGGTGACGAATAGCGATGGCTTCCCAAATGTTTGCACTATTGCCATTGCATCTAAGTAGTTTTGATTCATATTACGTGGGGAGCCGATGAAAGATGACGGCAAAATGACTTGGCGGCCGATTTGAACATTTTATTCTCCTGCCCTTCTATTGACAAAGTCGGTTATGTTGAGGTAGAGATCAGCTCGTAATTGTGACTGTTGCTTCCGAATGAACTCTAGTCGTGTGCCTTCTATCCTGACATACATATCCACCAACCATTGCAGATAAAGCTTTTGTGAACGGTGCAAAATGCTGAATGGTTCGCGAATTGCAAGACGGTATGATGCATATTGTAACATGGTTAGCTTTTGACGAACAGCTGTTTGATGGGCGGCATCGTGAGTCAAGTCAATGTGCCATCCAGAATCGCCATGGGGGAACAACAATGGATAAGCCAGTGGGTCAAGGGATGGCTCCAAAACGGAAACTCTTCGATCGCCATGAGACTTGTGCTATATGATAAGGTTGCGCTCGCCAGGTGGTGCACCATCTACAGCTTTAAATATAGCTGCCACATCAGTTTGAACGGCATCGTTGAATCTTCTATGATCGTCGTTTCGGTCTCTCTTCATGAACATACAGATGTCAGTTTCTACGCCATCATTTTCGTCCCGACTTAATTCTGCCATAGTTTTGAATGACTGAACGAAAGGGTTTACATTTTCAAGATACGATGTCAACTCTCTCATCAAGGCTTCATCACACTTTTGGTTGGCAGGCATTCGTATTCGTTGCTGAATGGCAGTGTCAACATCGTAAATGTAAATTTGTGCATACTTAGCAGTTTGCCCAGGTGATGGTGCAAGAGTGCCGACGCGGTGATAGAACGTATCGTGGATTTTGAAGTTGTAGACACCGTTTGTTAAGGATTCGTCTAGTTTAGCTTCAGAGCTGATCATGGCAAGAGCAGCGTTATAAGAGCGAATGTGTTTGAGATAATTTTGTGATTTCTTGCGAATAGAAGCATTCGGATGATGAATGTTTTCGATTAGCTCTTGAATGAATTGTGACGGTATAAATGGTGGCAAAGATACTTTACCCTTGTGGCAACACAGGGAAAAATTAGAAGCATTCCTGCCGGTCTTCTCCTTCTCAAAATGCCTCGCTGTACAGGCATCACAGGTCATTGATAGAGGTCCAATTGAGAAAGAAAAGTCGTTTTGGGGCAGCGTTAGGGCGCATTTGTAACCTAATAGTTGAGGTTGTCCAGGTTCATGTGTTGACTGTGATGAGTTAAGTCTGTTACGCGCCACTGTTCTGTAGCTGCGGTCGTCATCACGATTACGCCTCCTGTCTATGTTTCTTTGTCGTCGCGTTGGAGGCATTTAAAAGAAAAAACAACAAATAAACAAATTATAGCTCCACAAAACAACGATAAATGGACAAATTTAGGTAACTATCATGTTAACACGATCCGTTACAAAACAACATCCGTAAAAAGACACAACATCCGTCATAGCGACACAAAACAACGAAAAATACACACATTTAAGATACAACCATACCAACACGATCCGTCTTGGGGGTTATGTTTACACAAACTCAAATTGTAAATAAACGTACTCAATGCGTTTTATTGAATTGAATAAATAACAGCAATTAAACTAAACAGCTGATCAAAATGTAAACAATTATATTCTCCATAAGGATAACATGGGAACTTTCAAAGCCACTGGGGCAGAGCCCAAGGGACTTTTTCAAAAATGTAAGGTCAGTTTGCAAATCTACGTGACACGCTCTTTCCAATGAGACGTCAATGGATAAAATCGGTTAAGAAATGGCGGAGGAGTTCAACCGACAAACTTTCGTGTAGCGTATTAATTATATAGATAATACGCATACAGCTAGAAAATGGCTGGACTACTTCCCTTCTAAGGCTTTATTATTACTGAATTTAATTTTTGACGTCGAGTCAATATATAACACGATGAATTCGTTTTATAAATTAATATGTTTTTTGCGGGGCATTGACCCGCACAGGTTCACTAGTAAATAAATAAATATATGACTATGCCTACTGAAAAATACGGCTATACCATACTTTTATTTTGCCAGGTGAAAGAGACTGAACAAATCTCTCTACTTGTGAATATATCTAAAGAAAGTTAAGCGTCGCATCTTTTATAATGTAATGCTGTAACTTTGTGAGGAATCTCTCGTGCGGAACACAGTATAAACCTTTGTAAGGACATATCAAGTTGACAGGATGTGTGCATGATTTCAAGGCCATCTAAAGCCTTCTGAATTAGACTTACTGTCATGCACAGTTAGTTGAGTTAATATTTTTGAAATCCAAATGCAGTTTAGGAAGAAGAATAAATTTTACTCATATGTGTTTAGGAAAATATTACTAGTTCAATTCATTTTCGGTTTAATATGTTTTAGGAAAGAAGTAGCAGGTTATTTTCCTTCAACGTACTACATTGTCAAAGCGTGTAAACATTATTTGTTGCTGCTACAATGGTTTGTCCCAAATTCTAAACACAAAATATTCAAATTAAAAACCATACACGGTTATTCCCTTGGATTTGACTGCCACAAAAGGTTTATTTTTATAGATCTATAAACATGCTATAAAAAAATTAATCGTTATGATGTGATGTATACACTATTGGGCTTTTTAGTTCTCTTCAAGACCAGAAAACGGTTGATAAAAAGTACTGCAATTGACGAATCTTTTAGCCGACGGACCCTCTGGAGTCTATGCCGGACTTCTCCTCCGTCCATTCATTTACCTGCTGGAATGCCGTGAGTGTAAGAGAGGTCTCTTAAATGGTTAAGAATTTTAAAGACTCTAAGAGCCAAGATGTCTATGGCCTTTCTGCACATGTTCTCAGGGCTGTTGCAGATCTTGTGGTTGTTCCTTTCACGCACCTGGTCAACTTGTGCCTGGCTCATGGATCTTTTCCGGACACTTTAAAAAAGGCCTGGACTCTGCCCATCTTCAAGGGAGGAGACCCTGCACTCATGGAAAATTTCCTCCCCATCTCTATCCTCCCTATCTTTTCTAAGGTGATGGAGACGGTGATGAAGAGGCAACTCCTATCATATTTTGAAAAGAATGGCCTACTGATGGACTCGCAACACGGCTTTCGTAGCGGTCGATCTACCACCTCCGCACTCCTAAGCCTGGTCGACACCATATCCCAGGCCTTCGAGGAAAATGAACCGGCCCACCTTAGCCTGTGTGACCTCAGCAAGGCTTTCGACGTTGTGTCACATGACATCCTTCTGGTCAAGCTGAGAAAATACGGAATTGGTGTCGCAGATTTCAGCTCTCTTGCTGAAGAACCTTGGCAACCGCAAACAACTAGTGACCATCATGGGAGCTACATCTACTTTGGGCTCTTTTCCCCATGGAGTTCCGCAGGGATCAGTTCTGTACCCTCTCCTTTTTACAATCATCATCAATGACCTTGCTTCAACCAGCCATGTCCTCCTGTTTGCAGATGACACCACCTTGGTCACAAAGGGGAAGAACATCAACCCGCTGCTGGAGGAGGCAAACAGCTCCCTGAGGCTGGTCAAGGATTGGTTTATAGCCAACAAACTCAAGATCAACGAGGAGAAGACTCAGATCCGTATGTGTTCCTTGAAGATCGGCCTTGAGGACAACAGCGTCTGATGTGCACGTTCACAAGCGTCACTAGAGGCTAAATAAGCAATCACTACTAATAAGCTATCAACTAAATAAGCGGTCACAAGCGTTCTGCTTGTGATCTGGATGGATTATAATTTAAGTTGGCACCTCCATATTAAAAAGGAATGTGTAAAGCTATCAAGAGTTCTTCACCTTTTCAGGAAGCTTAGGACTACCATTACCAGACCGTAAATAAGTAAATAAGACAAATAAGTCTTAAAATTGCATACACATTCCATTAAGACCATAAAAATCGTTAAAAATATTAATTCTATTATTTCAAAAATGGCGGCCATTTTCCAAAATGGTGGCAAACTTGAAAAGTGGAACACTGTGTATTTTATGGTCTTTATGGAATGTGGATGCAATTTTAAGACTTATTTGACTTATTTACTCTTCGCATTTTCGCTACAAACCTACTTGTTTAGGAGCTACATAATGTAAAATGTACACCGGAAGTAATTGTTCCATAGGCTATAACTCCTAAACGAGTGGGTTTATCGAAAAAATGTCAAGAATAAAAAAGTTTTTAAATTGCATGTTCTATCCGAAAACATGGAGTGTTCCATAAGAAATCTCAAAGTTGACCACCATATTGGAAAATGGCGGCCATTTACAAAAATGTTATTTAATTATTTTTGAACCTCTTTAAAAACAAGGGAATGTTCCCCATTTGAAGTTTGCTGTAAAATCATTAGTTACTGAGATCCCAATGGTGGCACACTTAAAAAAAAAAAAAAACACCCTGTATATCTCACATTTTTGTATCTATTAAAGAGATAGATGTGCCAAGATTCACTTGAAAATGATTCCCTAGACAAACAATTCTACCGATTGCTATCCCACAATAAAGTTTTATTTATACATTTTAATTGTTTTCACCTTTGAGAGATGTAAGCAAAAAGCAAAAAGATGTTCTATTCAAACGTATGCAAACAATTTATTCAGTCACATCTTAATTGTGACTAATGAACACTCATGTCTTTATAGTCATGATTTGACGATACCTATACGGTACGATATTTTTATGCTGATGAGGGATTAAAATCAAACATCGCTTTCTAAATTATAGAAGAAAAACATTACTTCTAAAACTTTTAACTTTTCTTCCTACTGTTGTATTTTTGTATAACCATTGTTTTAGTTAAAATATAAATGAAAACGAGATACCTCAACCTTAACCTTTGTCGATTAATCATTTCGCATTGTGGTTTCTAACAGTTTTAAAATTTTACAAAGATAATTAAAAATCCAATAAATTGTGGATGAAATGGCTCATTTATAGGCAATCCTCATCATGAAAGGATCGTACAAAACTGTTGTATCCGCTTGCAAATTTAAGCATAAATAATTCATCTCACGCGCTGATCCCTTCTCCATCAACTTTGGATTTGCCCTTTGATTGCTTGTTTCAATATTAACACATGTAAAATGTTAGGGGTTTCGATTTTTGCTTTTCCAACATAGCAATTTGAGTTTTTGAAATAATTAGTTCTCAAGATTTGTATTTGAACGATCACATTACTGCGGTCACATTTTATCCACGTAACAGGAAAACTGTAACGA